CCAACCTCTGCTGGGTCCCCTACAGTGATGGTAGCTCAGTGCCTCTTGAGTCACCTCTTCTCTGCTTGGTCTTTGGTCATAATACTTCTCTACTTTATTCTGAGCCCAAACCTGTCCTGCAGCTTCTGTCCTTTGGGTCCTAGTTCTTGCCCTTACAACCACAAGGAAGAGCCTAATTCTTCTTCCTGAAGAATTTAATCTGGTGCTACTGGTCTCTCTTAAAGTCAGATCCTTGATTCTTTGGGTAAACACCCTCAGTCCCCTCAAACAACCCTAAATGGATGTGGCCTTCACTTTCATGCTTATTCTTCTTAGATTATTTTCTATTAAAAAATTTGTATTGACCAGGCCCGGTGGCTCAAGCCTGTAATCCCAGCACTTCGGGAGGCTGAGATGAGGGGATTGTCTGAGACCACGGGTTCAAGAACAGCCTGGGCAACTGTCATCTCCACAATAAACAAATAAATAATTAGCAGGGCGTGGTAACGCGTTACTGTAGTTCTGGCTACTTGAAAGGCTGAGACAGAAGGATTGCCTGAGCCTAGCCGGTTGATGCTGGGGTGGCCGTGAGCGTGCCACTGCACTCCAACCTGGGTGACGGAGTGAGACTCCAACTAAAACAAAACAAAACAAAGCAACTTTTATTGTGTTAAGAACACTTAACATGAGATCTACCCTTTTACCACATTTTAACTGTATAATACAGTATTGCTAACTATAGAGACAATGTAGATTGCAGAACTTATTCATCTTGTATAATTAAGACTTTATACTCAAGGATTAGCAACTCTTGCTTTCCCCTCGCTGCCCCAGACCCTAGCAGCCACTATGCTACTCTTTCATTTTGTGAACTTCACTTTTTTAGAAACCTCATAGAAGTGGAATCAGGCTGACTGTCTTCGTCCTTCTGTGACTGGCTTATCTCACTTAGCAAAATGTCCTTATCCATGTTGTGGCGTATGACAGGATTTCCTTCTTTTTAAAGGCTGAGTAATGTTCTTTGATGAAAATCATATTTTCTTCCTTTTTAAAATGTGGCTCCCAGAATTCTGCACCAAGTTCTGGGTTTCTCTAATCTATGGAGAGGAGAGTGAGATTATTTTATTCTTTATTTTACTAATTGTAATTTTTTTTTTTTTTTGACCTGGCCTCATTGCCTTACTGAGCCAGAAGTAATCTAAAACTCTAAGGTCTTTTCTCTCATCCTCCTGCTAAGCTGTGTCCACTCCTCACTGTACTAGTACGGGTGGTCTTTTGTCTCCAGGGTAGGATGTTACAGCTTTATCAACTGTCTCATTTTTCTGTGCTTGGTTTGTGTATTCATCCAGTGTTCTGAGGGTTTTGGGGATCCTGATTGTTCATCCGTATTGTCCTTGGCTTTTCCTAGTTTTTATTCTAGGTAGATGTGATGAGGTTGGCTGCTGAGTCCATATCCAAGGCATTGACAAAGCATTGACTAAGAAATAGTAGATGCCAGAGTTCTGTGGCAAGCCACCCAAGGTTCTCTCTCTGTAGGACCATGGTACTCAACATATGGGTTTTGAGATCCACTGCATGGAAATTACCTGGGATACTTGTTTAAAGTACTCATATAGATTTCTTAGAAATAAAGAATCAGAATTGATAGAGGCTGGGCCTAGTAACATGTATATTTAATAAGCACTCCAGATAATCTCAATGTATAAGCAGGTTTGGGAAGGATCAACTTCAGAGTTCACTGAGTTCCAAAGCCCAAAACAAATTCCAGTTTGACTCGGTCCAAAGTTAACACCTAAGGAGTCCAACCTGACGGGATGGGATAGAGCAAAGGCAGAGGATTGCCTTGTATTTAAAATGTCAATTCATGCTATACTCATCTGCACAAGTCCTCCACAATGGTACCAGATTTTTCTCTGCTCTTCACTGCTCCGTGTGTGTATGTGTGTTTAATCTCCCCAGTTCTGTGTCCTGGATTCTAATACCTGTTTCAACTCCTGGATTTTGGTACCAGGTTTGAGTCCTTCTGCCCCCACCTCAGCTTGTTCACCTGGGTTTTCCAGAGGCTCTCTGTAAACAGGTCTGATTTTGGCATCTCCCACAGTTTCTGATGAGACGCTCCTCTTCTAACCCTGATATATTGAAACAAGCATCTCTCAGGATACAGATTAGTCTTCTTTTAATACATTACCCCAAACCTGCTAGCTTCTCAAGGGCAAGATCTTACTTAATCAGGTTCACATTGTATTCATATTAGTTTTTTGGGGTTTTTTTGAGTTGGAGTCTCACTCGTGTCACTCAGGCTGGAGTGCAGTGGCATGCTCACGGCCACTGCAGCCTCGACCTGCTGGGCTCCAGTGATCCTTCCACCTCAGTCTTCCAAGTAGCTGGAACTACAGGCACGCGCCACCATGCCCAGCTAGTTTTGTGATTTATTATAGAGATGATGTCTCACCAAGTTACCCAGGCTGGTCTCGGACCATCAGGCTCAGGCAATCCTCTGGCCTCGGCCTCCCAAAGTGCTGGGATTACAGGCTGAGTCACCATGCCCAGCCTAGTTTTATTCTCAAGGTGTCTATATTGCCCATCGCTTGATGTGCTGGGAATGCTACAAAGTAGGTACTTACTAAGTTTTTCTCTCAGACAGCAGAATTCTTTAGTCTGGGGTGACAACTGAAAGATTAGTGAAAATATGGTAAGCTTCTGAGCAAGACTAACTTGAGTGTGAATCTCAGCTTCACCATCGTTTCAGTGTATGGCCTTGGGCAAGATAACTGACCTTCATGAACCTCAGGCATCTCAACTATAAATGAGAAATATGGGCTTGGTATCTAAAGAGAACTTTGTCTCTTAGGTGCTATGATTCTTTATAAGTCACAGACTCCTTTTTCTGGCTGGTATCCTGTATTGGGGTCCTCGGAAGGCAATTCTTTGCAGTCAATTCACATTGCTTAAATCAAGTTGGAATTCTCTTCTCCCAGCAGCATGTGGCAGGTTGTCGGCAGATCCTTCATGTGCATAATCACGCCACAGGCACCCTCCAGCCCCCATTAATCAGCCAGTCCTGTCACTTTAATTCGGCAGCACTCCACCACTCACCTAGGCAATCACTCTGGCTTCTGCCTGTGAATTCTTTACATCCACTTTTGTTTATCACTGTTGAAGCATTTTTTAATCAAAACAATTAAATATGCTAAATCTTCCTCAATTAGTAATGCATTAAAAATTAAAAGTGCTTGAATGAAAATGGCAGAAGAAGCCCTTTGCTTGGTGCTAAGTATTCAGCGCATTGCTTCCCCCAGGCGCTTTCAGCTTGGGAGTGACTCAAAAACAGTCACAGAGTCACGGAGGGCTACAACTGAAAGGAGCCTTGAAGACCACAATCCCTTCTTTCCATCAACGGGAAAATCAGGCCCAGTGGGATCATGGCCATTTTCCAAGATTATACAGGGTGTTAGTGACTGAGATACAGGATTCCCGACATCTAAGTTTTCTTCCATAAGAAACCCTTATCAAAGGACCCAGGGCATTTATTTATTCACTCATCATTTGTTCTGAAAATACTTAATGAATATGGCAGACACTGTGTCTGCTATGCTGGCAAGACAATGAGGACAAGATACAAGTTCTTAACCTCATAGAGTTTGGAGTTTAATAGGGATGCAGGCAAGTTAACTTTGATGCTAAGCACCCCCTTGAAAATATTGAATCTAATCCTTAACTCAATTGAATGACAGGTATAAATTATGTTTCCTTTGTGATTGCCAGAATAATACTATGACTGGCAATAATTATTTTATAGGAACAGTTAAAAGGAATAATGTTTCAAAATTCAAACTCTACTTTTCAAAATAACCTTTCAACTACAGAAAAAGTTGAGCTGTGTAGCATGGTCAATATCTTCCTCTAGTCTACTTATCCAACCTTATCTTGCCAAGCAGACCTAGAGTTGAAAATCCTATGTGATCAGGGAAAAATAGCTTGACTGCCTTGAGAATTATTTTCCTCATCTGAAAAATATGGGTTCCTTAGTGGGTCCTCACAAGTAGACAAATACAGAGATGGCTAATGTGGGCCTGACAGTCCTTGTGGGGTCTGAAGGGCAAGCAGACTTTCCATCCATACATCTTCTATCAGGACTCTGGCTCTGAGGTGCAAAGAGGACCTGGACAAAAAGAATTGTGGAGAATGTTGCCATTCAGGCATGGAGAGCATTGGAAGCTCTGGAGAAAGGAAATTATTCTGATCTAAAAATGGTTCATGGAGGAAATGACATTTGAGTGGGATCTTTTTTTTTTTTTTTTGATTCAGAGTCTCACTCTGTTGCCCAGGCTGGAGTGCAGTGGCACACTCATGGTCACCCCAGTGTCGATGTGCTGGGCTCTGGCGATTCTTCTGCCTCAGCCTTCCAAGTAGCCAGACCTATAGGTGCGCACTATCATACCCAGCTAATTTTTGATTTACTGTAGAAATGAGGTCTTGCCAAGTTGCCCGGGATGGTCTCAAACCTACGGGCTCAGGCAATCCACCTGCCTTGACCCCCCAAAGTGCTGGGATTACAGGCTGAGCCACCGAACCAGCCTTGAGTGGGAACTTCAGAGGCCTTTGGAAAGATGGTGGAAAGGGAGGCAGGAGGGCATTTATATTGAAGGGTAGTGTCCAAAAGTGCAAGTGAAAATGGCACCCAGCATGGGCCAGGCACTGAGCCAGACATAGGAGCACATGAAGATGAATGAGATAGAATCATTGGCTCAGAGGAGGCTCAGTAAATGGGCAAAGGACAGGGCACTAGCATTTTTGAACAATTAGTATATGCAATACAGATCCCTTCTTACTTCAAGAAGTATTTGGGTTGGAACAATGCAGATGAGAAATTGGAAATTGGGTTAAAAAAACTGGGCTTTCAACACAGATCTCTTTGACTCCAAAGCTGAAGCTAACTTTTACTACTGTGAGATGGTCATAGCATGTGAAGTGGCTTCTAGTAACTCAGAATTTTATGTTTCTCTGTCTCCCTGCTACAGGTGTCACCAGCAAAGATATCAAGACTTGCTTTGGAGGCTCCGTGGGCATTCAGTATCAATACACGGATAGCTTAGGCATCGAAGGAGGTTTATCAGGAGAACAATGTAAAAAATTTGGAAGTGGAACAACTGGCAAGTAATAAGTTTCCTAAAAAGAGAAGCTAGATTTTCCCTTGGTCCTGCACTCAGGGCATGGGAGCTATTTTTTCCCCCAATTGATTTCATTTCAGTCAATGGTCACACTGTGTGAATGCTAAATTCCTCAAACCAATGACTTGTATTGGCTCTGGTTTGAATCTCCTGTGGGCTGAAATCTCCTTAGAAATGCTTGCCTTTGTATGGGGCACCTTGCTAGATTTAAATTACAAGGCAGAGGTCCAAGTAAGAACTGGAATGAAAGTAATGTGTTGACAGAATATGGAAAGTAAACTGTTGGAATAAAGGCCCAACAGATTAGAGTCCAGAGGGAGGAAACCAGGCTGCTGAGAGTAGAGAATATGGTTATCAAGTCCAAGCTTAAAAAATAATGATAAGAGAGGGATTATGTAAGAATATTTTGGGACATTTCCTGAACAAGTCATTCATACTCATTCATACATTGAACATGCATCAGGTTGTTTTTTCCAGGTTGGAGACATCTGGAATAAAGAAACAGTTTATTATGCAGTGGGTGACGTAGATATTACACAAGTACAAGTTACTCCCATTGTATTACACTATTCATGCCACAGGGTTTTAAGTCAAATTGCTTAAAACTGGACACGGACCAGATAATAAGCATTTGATCCCAGCTCTCTCTGATGTCCTTCCAGCCTCTCTCCATTTACTTGGGAAACATTCACTCATTTCTCTACACAACTTCCTTTCTTCTAGATTCCCCAACTCCCACTGTTATACTGTATATCTGACCAGTTTTTTTCTGGGCCCCTACTGAGTCCTAAAGTGACATCTACCATACACATATAATATTTGCTTAAACTTGTTGGCTCATAGAAGACACTGAGTAAACACTTGACACATGAATGAATGAATGAATGGTCATCCACGTTCCTTCCTCTCCACCCTTCATGTGACTAATCAATCTATCCTCTCAGTATCTGCTCTGCTCCAGAAGATGGGTCTGTAATATTTCTGAGTCTTGGTCTTTCTCTTCTGCCTTGTCCTGCTGGTTAACTCAGAAAAGTAGAAGAATGGCAGACAGCTCAAAGGAGAGCACAGCACATAAACTTTTCTCCAAATTTCATTAGTGGAATTTGCCAACTTGTCCTTTCGCTTTTTTTGGAAATGAGCTAATGTGGTTGTCCTCTTGATGGCAGAACACAACATGAAGGCCATGGCTGTGGAAGACATCATTTCTCGGGTGCGAGGTGGCAGTGCTGGCTGGGGCAGTGGCTTGACACAAGATGGGAGTACCATTACATATCGCTTCTGGGGGAGGTCATTAAAGTATAATCCTGTTGTTATCGATTTTGAGGTAAGTCTTTTCGCAGTTGAAGAAACTCTACGTCCATGAGGAATGAAAGTGAAGCAGACCAGATCATTTCATATTTCTTATTATGAGTCCATCAAAGAACAAGATTAAATGTAACGGCACACTGAGCTGATGGCCTTGCTCAAGCCTGACTACAGGGATTGCGTGACTTTAGACCCGGGCCATGGGAGAGCTGGGATCAAATGCTTATTATGTGGTCCGTGTTCAGTTTTATCCTAGTAAACCCACAAGTTTTTCAGGGTTAGGCTACATTCAACCATCATAATTTGCATTTATACATAAAAGGCTTTAAAAATAACACATGCTAAATTAGGAAGTGGCACGCTTTTTCTGTAAATGGTTGGATAGTAAATATTTTAGGCCTTGTGGTCCACATTCAACCACTGACATACAAGCGGTAGGGATAGTAGTAGCGGTTGCTGTTCTTCCTCTTTTTCACACCTCTTTAAACATGTAAAGGTCATTTTTAGCTCAAAGGCTCTATAAAAATAAGCTGCAATTAGCTGCTGTTCATCTAAATCATTTCATCTCCTCACCACATATGACTTCCCCATTGAAAAGATTAGGAAATTCAGGCTCTGAGAAATCAAGTGAATTGTCGAGGGTCACAGAGCTCATATATGGCAGGCCTTTTGAACTTTGTATTCAGATCTCACTTCTCTCTATCCGAGCACCTTCCTTAAAGCAGTGGCTCTCAATGACTGGGGGCAATTTTGCTCTGCAGGAGAAATTTAGCAATGTCCAGAGACATTTTGGTCACATCTCATAGTAGGAAGAGGAAGATGTTTGAGCACCTGGAAGCAGAGGCCAGGAATGCTGCCTACCATCCTACAATGAATAGAATAGCCCCCACAATAAGGAAATAGCTGGCCCCAAATGCCAATAATGCCAAAAAGAAACCATGCCTTATAGCCTAACTTCACACAGGGTTAAAACCATATTCAAACTGCAAAAGAATAAATTGTCCCAGCAGTTGTCAGACTACCTCTGTCAATATGCAAAAGAGTCCCTTAAAAAAGAAGTTACATTTTAGACCTTGAAGCAAAATATCATCATTTTCTCACCCATTTTCTCCTTACCCTTGACTATTTTTCTACATATGTTTAAAAATCCATGAATACCTTCTTCCTCTTAACACAAATACCTACAGCTACATCTAGAAGTCTATTATAACACCCCGCTTTCTATGAAGAAAGAGGTCAGATGGGTTAACCTTGATTTCATTTTTTCTTCAATAAGTAAGGGACCATTTTCATGCACCTGTAATTCACATAGGATCTGAAAATTACTATCATCAAGCTATTAGTGATTTGGGCAAAAACTGTAAAATTGATATCAGGAGTAATATATAAACTTTCATAGGCAAGAAGTGAGCCTTGTGTTTGCCTTGAGTAAAACTTCCAAGGGGAAGACAGAGGTTCATCATCTGGAGAATAAATGCTATATTTGGGGGAAAAAAGCCCTGGCTTTGGTGGGGCTGAGGAAGGAGGAGAAAGATGTACTTTAGATCATGGCTCAGCCACCTGTTCAGTTTGTGCCCTTGGATTTCACTCTCTGAGTCCCAGTTTCCTGCTCTATCACTTAGGATTAATCTGTTACTTCCCAAGGCTAAGGAGACAAGGGTGGGTAGTTAAATAAACACAAGTTGAGGAAACAAGTTCATCGCATGACCTCATAATTGGCAGATGACAGAGGCCAACTTGAGTCGTGTTTGACACTAATATCCACAATCTCTTCACAACCCATGCTGCCCCCTGAGCAATTTAGAATGGATACATTAAGCCGCCAGCAGGATTTAGAGCAGGGAAGTTACACAGGTAGTGCTGTGCTTTAAAAAGAATGCTCACAGGGAAAGCGTGAATGGAAGAAGAAAGAGAGAAATGACAGACAAGGAGACCAGTTAGGGGATTATTTGGAGTCTGAGGTTCAAAGTGGAAACAGTATCACATTCACTTGCATATCCCCAGAGCTCAGCAGTGCTTATGTATAGCAGGTACTTAGATGGAGTGAATATAGGAGTCGTGTTATGTTATCTTTGTATTACGTTACATTGCTATGCTGTGTTACGTGAGGTATTATGTGTTATGTGTTATCTTACCTTGTGTTGCTATATAATATTGCTTGCCTTCTCTGAATCTGTTTTCTTATCTGTAGAATGGGAGCAAGATCATGGCTCTTCAAGTGCTAACATTCTAAGATTCTTTTTCTCTTCCTTTTTCTCCTCAAGTCCAGCACGTCCTGGTGTTTGTTTTTTTCTTCTTCCAGAAGGACCTGGGAAGGAAAGTCTGAGATGGGGGACTGGGCGCTGAACCTCACTGGAAGGTCAAAGAGAAGTTGCTCAATGGTCCTAGCCTTCCCTGGAACTAAGAGTTACCTTTAACCAGAACAACAGGGCAGTCCATTCTGCACTGACTTCCTAACAATGGGGCCAAATTCCCTGAACTTCCAGTAAGGGGTTTTCTCCCCTTGGCTGGGGTCCCAACCAGTCCTGACATTACCTACCTTGTGACCTCAGCTAGCTACAGCCCCTGACCACAGGCCAAGGTCTGTTTGCCATAGGTTCTTCAGTACACATTTCCTGGAGCCCATTCAAGGCTTTTGCAAGTGCCCTCTGTTGACTTCTGCTTCCCAGAGAAGTGAAACTGCTCCACTTTGGCTCAGTCCTACTACTGACTTTCTCTGTGGCCTTAGCAAATCTCTTCCCCTTGGGGGCCTCAAGTTCCTCTCCTGTAAAATGAGAGATCTGAAAAAGAGTCTTCCTTTCATGGTTGTGTTAGAATATATAACATTGTAAGCATGCTGACAATAACCATATGTACGTGCAATTCAAAAAACGCAGGGGTCTCAAGCAGCCAATGGCCATTGCCTTGCTAGACTCTGGTGTGGCCATGTGCTCTTTGAGCTATGGCTGTCGCCATGCTTCCTAACTTTGGCCCCCTCCTCCACCTTGGGGAGGTGAATCTTCTGTCTCCCTTTTCTTTCTCTCTCTAAATTACTTTTAAATAAACTTTTCTTTCTTAAAAAAAAAAACAAAAAACAAAAACAAAACGCGGGGTTCTTTTTACTATCATCACATCTAACTAATAGAAATGGTGCTTTATTTTATACTGTTCTTCCCTTTTACAGGGATATCAAACATTCATTACTTCTTTAGATTCCCCCAAGAAATCTAGGAAGTAGGTATTATTCCTGTTTCTAGATAATGAGGATCAGGTTTAGAGAGGGGCATTAAGCATTCTCGGCCACACAGCCCGGAAGTGAACTGCATTTATTCAGGTTTTACCATGTGATGGGCTTTTCCCATATATCACCTCCTTTAATCCTCACAATAAACCTGGAGGGTGGGATGACTGCACTCTCTTTACTGATGAGGAAGAAGGCTCAGTGTGTCAAGTGCCAAAGATCACACAGCTGGCAGTAGGAGGGCTGGGATTTGAAGCCAGGTTTACTGGCCCCAGATTCAGTGTTCTCCCCACCATATCTGCAACTTCTCAGCCAGAGGCAGTTTTGCCCCCCAGGGGACACTTGGCAATGTCAGGAGACAGTTCTGGTTTTCATGACTGGACGGTTGCTACTGGCATCTAGTGATTAGAGGATAGCAATGCTGCTAAACATCTACAGTGCACAGGACAGCACACTGCTGCCAACAAAGAACGATCCAGCTAGAAATGCAGTCGTGCTGAGGTTGAGAAACTCTGGACTATAGACGAGCCTGGCATGAGTTGCCTCAAATGTAAATGACCCTCCACCCAGCCACACACAACCTTCACACTTATACCATTAGGGGGATTGCTCAGCTATGGCAACACAACTACTTAGCCAGGACTTAGTGGGTCCATGTTCAGAGTGAGCCTTGCACTTAATAACTGTGATCCCAAGCCAGTCGCTCAAACACTCTGAGCCTCCGTTTCTTCATCTGTGAGCTGGGAAGTTTAGTTCCTATGTATGGAGTGGCTGTGAGGATCCCAGGTGGTGGAATGAGTTGGGTGTCGGCCTCTGGGCCTGGCATGTAACAGGCTTTCCAGAAGCTGGGTGGCCAGTTTTGGGGCTCTGGAAAACTGGACAGACACCAGGGAGGGGCCCTGTGTTCTTTCTATGTTTGTAGATGCAGCCCATCCACGAGGTGCTGCGACACACAAACCTGGGCCCTCTGGAGGCCAAGCGCCAGAACCTGCGCCAGGCCTTGGACCAGTACCTGATGGAATTCAACGCCTGCCGCTGTGGGCCCTGCTTCAACAATGGGGTGCCCATCCTCGATGGCACCAGCTGCAGGTGCCAGTGCCGCCTGGGTCGCCAGGGTCCTGCCTGTGAGCAAATGGAGATAGAGGGTAAGAACTGTGCACCCCCCCCACTTCCAGCCTGGCTCGGATCAAATGGGCTAGTGCAGAAGGACCTCTGGGGCTCCAGGCCCCTCCTTTCTAAGTCCTCTTAGCCACTACCCCAGGAGTTCTGTTGCTCAAGAGTTGTTTGCTCACCCACCACATTTAATGACTCTTGTTTTCTCTTTGACATCAGAACTTTCTCAGATGAGAACTGTTTTTCGCCAAGATGTGTATGGATAATAGAATACACTCATGGAGGGATAAATGAATTTCCTAGGGCTTCTATTACAACCTATCACAAACTGGGAGGCTTAAAACAACAGAAATGTATTGTTTCAGACTTCTGGAAGCTAGAAGTTCAAAATTTAGGTGAGTTGGTTAGATAGCTTTCTTTTGGAGAATCTGAGGGAGAACGTGCTCCTTGCCTCTTTGTAGCTTCTGATGGTTGTCAGCAATTTTTGGTGTTTGTTGGCTTGAAAATGCATCACTACAGTCTCTGCCTCTGCCTTCACATGGCATTCTTCCCTCTGTGACTGTTTTCTCTTCTCATAAGAATCACCAGTCAGCCAGGCTCAGTGGCTCAGCCTGTAATCCCAATACTTTGGGATGCCCAGGTGAGTGGATTGCCTGAGGCAAACGGGTTTGATGCCAGCCTGGGCAACTTGGCAAGACCTGTCTCTACAATAAATAAAAAAATTAGCTGGGTGTGGTAGTGCACACCTGTACTTCCAGCTACTTGGAAGGCTGAGGTAGAAGGATCACTGAAGTCCAGCAGGTCGATGCTGGGGTGGCCATGAGTGTGCCACTGCACTCCAGCCTGGGCAATGGTGTGAGACTACAACTCAAAAAAAAAAAAAAAGGAATCACCAGTCATTGGATTTGGGCCCACCCTAATCTGGCATGACCTCAGCTTAATGTGATTTCATCTGCAAAGACCCTATTTACAAATAAGATCACATTCACAGGTAATGGGGGTTTTGATTTGAACATATGTTCTGGGAAAACACAATCAATACACTTCAAGAAACAAGTAGCTGTCATCATAGTGTAAGGAGTTATAACTAACAACAAGGTTGGGCAAATGAGGTTTAAATGCATATAGCTGCAGCATGAACTGAATGACACTGGGGAAGAAAGTGATCAAACAAGGATTAAAAATCCATTTCTTAAAGATGAAGAAGTCTGGGGATCTGGATGTGAATCCCAGCTATTTCATTAACTCACTATGAGACAGTGGCTAATCTCAGCTTTCTGGGGCTTAGTTCCTTCAAGCTCCAAGAATCTCTGTGCACATCCTAATCTCTAAGCTTCTAATTTTCCAGGCATACAAAACTGTGTATATGGTACAAAAAATGATGACAAAACATATGGACTTCCAAGTCAATGTATAAATCCATCTCTGTTGGTTACTGTAATGAAGACAAGGCAAAGAAATAACAATAAAAAAAGAAGTATGCATGGGTAAATCTAAGGAACCAGGCTTAGGTTTACTTACTGTTGAATCACAGGATAGATGAGGCGTGACCCATGTGACTCAAGAGCTGTGTGTAAGAATCTGACCAAGCATTGGTGCCTGTTCACTCAGTGGCAGTCAACTGTGTGGTAGAATTGCCCCCAAAGTAAAGGGCTAGGTTGACAGAGGAGTCCAGAAAAAGACACATCAGGAGCTTTGTTCTTGGTGCCACACTTCTTCAGATATTGGCCAAGCAAAATGGACAACCAAGGGAAGGAGGTCAAACTGATTCAAACTTGTGTAATAAGAGCCGAGCTGTAAAGGTTGGAAAGTTTTGGCACAGAGAAGAGAAGACTCAGGAGGAACAAGTCCCAATGCATTGAGAGACCATAAAACTTGTATTCTGTGACCACCGAGATTAAGTTGTAGTACTAAACAAGACAAGTTATTGCAAAGGGATTTGGGCTTAATGAGAAAAAACTTTCTTCTGCATGCAGTGTGGTGGGAATGAGGGAGGGGAGAGGAGAACTATGTGTCAGGGAGTTGTAGAAGAGATTCAGTCATCCAATGGATGGCTGGGTAGGATGGCTTCAAGGTCCTTCCTACTCCAGGATCTCTGAGTCTCTGACCTAAACAAGGGATGGCAACATGATGAACAGTTGGTAGTTTGAAACTTAAAGTCTTTGAATTCATCTTCGTTTGGAAGAAATACTAGTATCCTTAGAATTCAAGGGTGATCTTCACCCAGCAGATCTGAGTGAGATCTCAGCAGACCTTAAAATGAGGTGATAGTGAGTTATTATTTCCTCATTGGGAGAATAGTTCCAAACAGAAGGCAGGATAGCATAACCTCTGGTGTCAGTCTGGTCTTTGAATCCTGGGCATACCCTGTCAAATGAGGTTATATCAGTATGTTGAGGATTAAACTAGTTAACACATGTGGCAGGCTGTAATATAATAAGCAAAAGAAGCACTAGCTCCATGTGGGATGCTCCATTGGTAGAGTCCTGGGGGGCTCCTTTTCCAAATCCCTCCTTTGCTGGCAAAAAGGGGGTAGAATTTGGGTCCCACTGTGCTTCCTGGTACCCTGTAGGACAAATTCTGAAAGGGGTGAGCCAAGAGGGTGGGTGAAAGCCAAAGTCCTTATGAAGGAAAACACAGAGACAAAAGAACCAGGGAGACTAACTACCAGGGCCAAGCCTCGAACACAGTTTACTTACAGAAATTGGAAAAAGGCACTGCCTGGAAAGTGAGTGAATTGGGAAGGAAAAAAAAACCACTCTGGGTTGACACAGCCCAGCTCAAGGACCCAGGGCTTTCCTGAATTCCCAGGCAAGGTGTGGACTGGGTTGCAGCCCCCATTTACCCATCAGCCAGGCAACCTTTCCAAAGGGACCAAAGGTCAATGAACAGAAATGATAACTACCCCTTGTTCTGTGCCAGCCAGCATAGCAGCCTTTGTGTGTACGAACCCACAGATTTCCCCAAGAACCTTATAAATGCTATTATTTGTCCCAATTTACAGATGAGGAAACTGGGGTGGGAGGAAGGTTAAACAACTTGCTCAAGGTCTTCTAACTGGGGAGTGAAAGAGCTGGAATTTGGACCCAGCAAGTTGATGCCAGGACCCAAGCTCCTACACATTGCATTCTATTGATTCACATCCTAAAAGTGAGGAAATTTAGAGAATGAGAGTAGAGGGCCTGAGGTGATTTTAGTAGCTATCATTGTGTGGAGGGTGGAGGGGTTACTGTGCCAGTTCATGGTTATCAGCTTGGCCTGGCAAGATATAAGGGACAGATGTGAGCCTTGCCTGTGTAACTTAATTATAGCACTTCAAAGGCCTCAGAACCAGGGACTTGCTTGGATCCCTGTTGACACAGCAGAGACAAAGAGAAGGGAAAGTGCGGGCCACCCAGACATGCTTCTTCACTGGTCAGTGCCAGGCTCAGTGGCAGGTAGCCCTGCTGAGGCATGTGCACATTCGGTGAGCACTGGAGAAGGAGGGGGCATCATGGTAACAATCTGAGGAGTAGGGAGGGATCAGGGGGCTGCTTTGAAAACCCATTCATCTAGCATCAGTCCCCTTATATCCATTCAGTGGCAGGCAGCACGTGGTGCACTAACCTGGTTCCAACGAGGGTGTGGATATTGGCTGGCCTTGGGGCTATCGTATAGAACTTTCAGCCTGGCAGATTGGGCTGGCAAGGAAGTCTGAACAGGGGAGTTAGTCAGCTTCCATAGAGGCCCATTAGAGTCCCTAGGAATTTTCACAGCAATCTTTTGCCTACAGGGACCGAGTCACAGAGTGGGAGAAAGACACAGAGAGTCCTGCTGTGGTTGCCCCATCAGGGAGTATAATTACAGAGCTGGAAGGAACTTGGAGATAATCTAATCCAATGATATTCACACTGTGATCTGAGGAAACTTGGGGTGGTGGGGACCACCCCAGTGGCGGAGGGCGAGCCTGACAGACACCCCAGCTTCAAATAGAACAGCTCTACTTTCATCTGACTTAGATGTTGGGGTCCCTGTGAGATTTCATTTACGGGAAAAAATAGTGATTAAAAAAAGTAATAATGAAAAAATTGGATTAGTCCATCCTCATGCTACAGAGTCCAAAACTCAGGCTGAGAGGGGATGGGCTTGCTCAAAGGCACAGAGCTGGAGAAGGCAGAAGCTCAAGTTTAGGGAGATTCTGTGGAATTCTAGCTGGATTTCCAGACATTCCATGGTCAGCATATGTGTTCAGATGCTCTGTATAGAGAATCATTGTCAGAGTCTAAGGGGGTTTAATTTGCAGATACTCATACAAAAGCTAAGCAAGACCCTCCAAAGAGGTGTCTGGCCAGGTCTGTTCTCTGAATCCCCAACTGGGCTGTGCTCCCTGTTCTTCACACCCTCCAGGGACTTTGTGTCCTTCTTCCAGAGAAGTGCGCCTCCTGCCTTCCTCCGCTATCCATCTTCCATAGATTCCAATTTCATAAAATGGGTTCCCAGTGGCCTCTTCTCACTCCATCCTATGTTTCAAATTAAGTGCGAGGCAGTGGGCACAGAGGTCTTGCTTGGCTACCTCAAAGCATTTCCCCAAGGAGAGATTTCAGACTACTCTCGGGCAGGGCAACGGAATGGCCCTCCCTCCTTACCCATGTGCTAACCTCCTTCTCCCCTGGGAAATTTTCTCTGCAGGGGCCAAAGCAGATGGGAGCTGGAGCTGCTGGAGCTCTTGGTCTGTGTGCACAGGAGGCACCCAGGAAAGAAGGAGAGAGTGCGACAACCCTGCACCCCAAAATGGAGGAGCCTTGTGTCTGGGGAAGCAATTACAGACCCAGGCTTGCTGAGGGCCTCTGGCACAGGCTGGGACAGAAGCTGAGGACATTGCCACCTGCACTGGCTATCAGATAAAGACTTCTTTCAGTTGAGAGAAGACGCAAATCAGCATAGACTTTTTCTTTGTCCTGCCAGATCCCAGCCCTCAGACTAGGTCACACCATCTACAGCCAACTGTTCTATTGCTTACAAAACTCAGTCGTTTATTCAACTGGATGTTGAGTGTTAACTAACAATCCTGTGCACATCTCTTTGGATCATTCACATTTAAAAAAAAGTGAAAAGAAAACTCAATCCATGATTTAGGAAAACTTAAAAGTATGTTAGAAAGACAAAGCAGGCAGAAGGCAGACACTCTTGAGATAATCAATGTCCAATAAAATAAAGTGTGATGAGAATTCTCTTAGTTCTTTGAGAACAGCATGTGTTCATTTACAATAACATTATTAATTGGTAGAATAAGCAGACACCCTGCATAACGAGAAAAGTATTAAAAATTGACTTGAGTTCCTTCAATTTTCCTTCATTTGGATTCTTTTTTTTAAAATTCAATTAGTCTTTCTAGTTTGATTAAGTTCTTACCACAATATCACATTTCTCTCCATTTTTTTTTTCTTATGGCACACTATTCCTTGTAATTGTATAATGTTCACAACTAGTAATTATATTGTCTTAGTATTCTATAACAAAAATACCATAAATGGATGGCTTATTAAACAATATAAATTTATTTCTTATGGTTCTGGAGGCAGAGAAATACAAAATTAAGGCAGATTTAGTATCTGCTGAGGGCCAACTTCTTAGTTTATACCGGACTGTCCTTCTACCGTGTCCTCACATGGCAGAAGGGGTAAGGGAATCTCTGGAATCTCTTTTATTAGGGCACTAATTCTATCTCTGAAGGCTCTGAACTCATAATCTAATCACCCCGAAAAGGCCAAGGCCTTACCTCCTAATACCATCTTGGGATTAGGATTTCAACATAAATTTTGAAGGAGCACAAATATTCAGAAGATCACGTGTATATTGAATTCCATATCTCCTGTGACTATCTAAGATCTGTTGTTTTTTTCCCCCTACCCCCAAGAGATTGCAATCTTGATGACAGGAACCAGGTTTGTTTTGGTTATCCCTGTATTTCCAGAGGATAGTGTTGTGCTTTGAATATAGCTGGGACCTAGTGAGCATCTGCTGATTAAATAAGTGAATTAATTTAAGTCAGTTCATTTTGGTCAGCCACCCAGAGTGACTTGAAGGGGCCAACCAGTGATGCTCAGTCTACCTTCCCTGACTTATCCCTAGGACAGCCAGTCACACTAGCCAGCCTCAGAATCCCCCAGCACTTCAGTCAAGAACATGTTAGCTAACAATGAATTTTCTGTTTATCTGTCAGTTTCTCCTATTAGACTGTGAGCTCCTTAATGACCAAATCTACATTCCCAGTGAATGGTGATAGGTACTCAATAAGTGTCTGGTAATCAACATATAGGTGCTTCAAATCCTTCCAGAGTCTTTCATCTTGTTAGGGTAATAATAAGACTTATATACACATGAAACAATTAGAGGAGGTTTTAGGACCACGGGAAATTACTTGTTGAGTTAATGCCAAAACATGGGACACACAAAACAAGTCCTGAAAGAGGCCAAGTGGGAGAGAAATTTACCTTTTCATGGGTGTGTATATTGTGGATGGTGTGGGGCTTGACCCAGGCCTTGAAGGAGTTAAGCAAACAGGAAGGCAACCTCTCAGAAATCCAGCATGAGACAAAGAAAGTAAGAAGGAATATTGGGAGTATGTGTAATGTGTGTTTGTGCTGGGAATGGAAAGTGGGAAAGATAGGAGACATGAATAAAATAAAATATATAAAAACACTTGGCACAATGCCTGTCACACAGTAAATTATTAGCAACACCATTGTTATTATTTTTTAAAATTTTATTTTTAAGTGAGGATTAATTGCATAAGCAGGCTGCATACAGGTGAAGTTTGGGCTTCTAACAGGCCCTCACGCTCCTGGTAGTCAACTAGGTACCCTTTGTGTTGTCACGTGTCCCCTGCCTCCACCCCCTTCCCCTAGCAGTGTCCAGCAACTGCCGATCCTTCAGGAGTTCAGGGCCTATTCATGGGTGAGAACATTCAGTATTCAGTTCTTTGTTTCTGTGATAGCTCACTTAGTATTATGGTCTGTATCTCCATCCAATTTGCTTTAAAGTTCATGATTTTGTTCTTTATGGCTGCATAGTACTCCATCGTGTATATGTATCACATTTTCTTTATCCAGTCCACTTTCAATGGGCAATAGGATTGGTTCCATGTTTTTGCTATTGTGAATAGCCCAACAATAAACATGCATGTGCTGGTGTCTTTTCGGTAGAATGATTTATGTTCCTCTGGGTGTATTCCCAGGAGGGGGATTGCTGGAGTTTATGGGAGGTAAATTTTTAGTTCTTTTAGGAATTTCCACACTGTCTTCCATAGTGGCTGAACTAGTACACTCCCACCAACAGTTGTTTTTTTGACTTTATTAATGATAGCCATCCTTACTAGAGTTAGGCAGTGTCTCATTATACTTTTGATTTGCATTTCACTGATGATTAGTGAGGCTGAGTGGTTTTCCATGTGTCTGTTGGTTGCTTGTATGTAATCTTTTAAGAAATGTCTGTTTGTATCCTTTGCCCACTTTTTAATGGGTTGTTTGGTTTTTTCCTTTCACTTCATTTGAGTTCCTTGTAGATCCTGGATGTTAGGGCTTTGTCAGATGCATAATTTGTAAATACTTTCTCCCATTTTGTGGGTTGTCTCTTTGTTCTCTTGATGGCTTATTTCACTGTGCAAAAGCTTTTCAGTTTGATGAGGTCCCACTTGTCTATCTTAGCTTTTATGGCATTTGCTTTTGGAGACTTGGTCAAGAATTTGTTGCCTACTCCAATGTTCATAAGAGTGATTCCTATGTTTTCTTCTAGGATTCTTGTAGGTTTTACATTTAGATCTTTGATCCATTTTGAGTTGATTTTTATATGTGGGGATGCATAGGGGTCCAGTTTCATTCTTTTATGGTCAGCCAGTTTTCCCAGCACCATTTGCTAAATATGGTCTCCATTCCCCAGTAATTGTTACTGTTGACTTTATTGAAGATGAGTTGGTTGAGAGATTGTGTTTTTGCTTCTGGAATCTCTGTCCTGTTCCATTGTTCCTGTGCCTATTCCTGCACAAATACCAGGCTGTTTTGGTTACTGTTGCTTTATAAGTTTAAAGTCTGGAAGCATGATACCTCCTGCTATGTTTCTTTTGCTGAGGATTGTTTTGTTTATTCATGCTTTTTTGTTTTTGTTTCCATATGAATTTCTGTATTGTTCTTTCTAGGTCTGAGAGAAATGATGTTGGTAATTTGATGGGTGTTGCATTGACTCTGTAGATTGCCTTGGGTAAGATGGACATCTTGGTAATATTGATTCTTCCAATCCATGAGCATGGAATGTTTTTCCATTTGTTTGTGTCATCCTTGATTTCTTTGA